CTACAGACACACTTTTCAAAGACAAAATAAAATTTTAATTAGATAGGGTCTTTTACTAATTTATAATAATTATTGGCTTATATTTTATTTTTTTTAATTTATTAAGGGACTAAATAGGTTTAAATTAAATATTTTAGGAACTTAATAGATTTAATCGATAGTTTATTGACAAAATAGATTTTGATTTATATATTTTAGAAACTTAATAGACTCAATTAATAGTTCAAGATTGAAATAAAAAATTTGGCGATAGTTTAGGAATAGAAAGTGTAATAAACCCTATATATATTAACTTGTGTATGTTTATATATATATATATATATATATATTTGTGGGAATTTTCATTATTATTTTGGTTCTTCATCTAATTTTTCTTTAGTTGCTTGGAGGGACAAAAAAAAAAAAAAAAAAAACTTTTGTTTGGTTAAGTTTTTCAAATTTTTTTTTCAACAAAAATTCGAAAAATAATTTTAATAAAAAAAATGAAAAAAATAAAAAATATTCATTGTTTTCATATGATTTTTATCTTTTTGGTTTATTTTTGTTAAACACATTTTTATTTTTTCAAGGTATAAAAAATAAAAACAATTTATGAAAATTTAATCAATTATAATTATAAATCAATTTTACTTAGGCTCCATTTGATTAAAAATAAATAAATGATGGAAAGTAAAAATAATAGAAAATAAAGTAAAAGAAAAGAAAATATATTTTCTTGTATGAATTTGATTAGGATGAAAATTTTACAAGAAAATAGGAATTCTAATTATAAGTAATTACTTTTTGTAGAGGGATAGAAATAAAGGCCAAAATTAAGTATGGATTTAAGTGTTGAGGTCACCCTTATTCGGCGAGCAAGAATGATTAAAGGAGCATGGGCTAAAGCTCAAGGGAAGTGGGTCAACAATAGGCCGGAACAGGTCCGACCCACCAAAGGCCCGAACAAGTTCCATGAAGAAAAATGTCTAAGTCAAGTTGCAAAGACAACACTTGTAGCGGTTAAGTTGCTAAGGCACTTTGTCTCAGCGCCGCCATTCCTAGTATTGTTGGCGCCGCCATCTCAAGTATTGTCAGTGCCGCCACTTGAAGTTGTTGAGGTAGAGAGAAAATCAGAGAAACTAATAAGTTGTGGAAGTAACACTTGCAGCGGCCAAATTGTGGAGGTACTTTGTCGGTGTTGCCATCTCTAGTATTGTCGGTGCCGCCACTTGAACTTGCCACAGAAAACAGTTACTGCAGCAACTACAATCACCACAACCAACTTGCGGAGGGAAAACTCCACCAAGGTGATAGCATCCTTTGGGAGAAGCTTCCCATCCACAAATAGAAACTAATGCTTAGCGCTGATAGTAAGCCCTCAAAGTCATTAATAGGTCAACACTGATAGTAGGCCCTGAAGCTTATTAGCTTGGCGTTGACAACAGACCCCAAAGCTTACTGGTCGGAGCTAATAGCGAGCCCAGAAATACTAGTCTACTGTGGCGACAGTAGAGTAACCCGAGTGTAAGGGACTCCCTTTCCATTTACCTAGGTCATAGACCTGCTTTGGTTGCATAGGTAGGACTGAGGAAGCCCTCTTGGGCTTGGTACTAAGGCACATCATGGTTAATAACAGGCTTGGCTGTGGCCTTCGCCTTAGGAAGCTGGAGAGTTTGTGGTTTGATGGCTAAGGGTGGAGGCTTCGCTGAGGTGAATACGAAACATGACTGATAGCAGGTCATGAAGTCTTAAGAATGCATGTCTTGACTAAACCAAACTAAGAAAGCAAGTGCAATAGCAAACACTACCGCCACAAGTGCACTTGTTGAGGTTTGAACTGAAAAGACAAGTGCAGAGGCAAACATTACTTCCGCAAGTGCACTTGCTAAGGTTCAATAAGGTCGTTGCGACGGTACTTTTGCCAAACAGATAGTATACAGTACGTGCAGAGGGGCACGTGACACCTTCAGCCTGGTGGTCCAAGGTAGAATATTCTATATGATTCTTAGGGACACATGTCCTCAACCTATTTGACCACTTGGTATCCTTTGGTACCAAGGAAAATCCTATAAATAGGACCCATTTCCCAAGGTCTAAGATGAGGATTTTTTGAGGAATTGGGAGATTCTATGTTGCCCATTTCTGCACTGCTATTTTTTTCATCTTAAACCACTTGCTCTACCCTCACTATGGCACCCGAATATTTACCATGATTATATTATATAAATAATAATAATAGTAATAAAAATAAATAAATAAATGCATAGTTTAAGAAATTGGGAATTAATCGATTAAATTGTTAAGGAAATAAATTGGGAGGTACCGCACGTTAAATATTTCAGTAAGTGGTAAGTGATCTTTTATAGTTAGGTGGTGAGGTTTTTAGACGTGAACCTAACGTATAATCATAGGTAATTTTAGGAATCATAACCTTTAGAATTGAATTAAATAATACTAAAAGAAAAAAGTTCAAACAAGCTTTCGGTGGCCCAAAGATTAACCTGGCCCTTGGTAATTCCTTGAGGTAAACTTAAGGGCCAAAGACAGATGGCAATAGGGGAGAGAAAATTTAGGGCCAAGGACATGTGCCATTAAGGGAAAGTACCTGTGTGTATGCTTTGTTGCTTGGGCCTCACTCTTGGTTCTATATAAATAGGATAGGTGCTGTAGGAGAAAGCATCCGAGCAAGTAAACACAGTGCTATAATAGAGAGCATTCGAGCAAAAAAACACAAGAAACGGGGAGTGAGCCCAGAATAATTTAGGAATAATTTTAAGGTGAGTTATATTATACATTGAGTTACCATAATATGTTTTCTATATGTCTTGAGTTACTATAATATATTTTACGAATGTTTTGAGTTACCACAAATTTTTTATATAATTTATGTTTTATGGTTATGTTAATGTTTCAATTACGTTGAAATTTATTTGCTTAAATTGAAATCCATGGATATGTTTGTTTAAATTTTAGAAATTATTTGACAAAGATCTTATAAACAATTATGTTCTGTAAGTACCACCACGGGAGTCCCATGCCTTGGAGGACTTAAGTAAACCATTGGCCCCTATTTGGCCACTTTGTGATCCTCTGTTTGTCATGGATCCATTGACCACTGTCCTAATTGTCACTCCAGTGACTCCTGTTCTGTTCTGTTCTGTACCGTGATTATAATTATTTATGTAACTTTTATTTCAGTTTCTGCCACTTAAATAATTTATTTATGCAACTTAAATTATGTTAATGTTTTAGCTTAAATAACTATCCATGGCTATTTTTGTGCCTCTATACTCACAGTATAATATTTATCACTTTGCTATGTACTTATAACTGTTATCCCTTTCAGGTGACGGGATTTAACGAGATCAAGATGGGAGATAAATCACAGTGTTTTTTTTTTCTTTTTTGTCTTTTGTACTATCTGTATTTTGATTGGACTCTTGTAATAAAATAAAAGCCCAAATGACTTTTTTTTTGGGTAAATTACTAATACGTCATAATAGTTAAACTTAATTCTCATCAAGTCGTGTTGAAAATAAGTTTTCGTAAAATTGTGCCTAAAAATAATTTTCTTGTGACATTTTTTTACATACATTGCTAAAAATTGACAATTAGTGAATTTTTTTTGTCATAATTTTTATAAATTGTCACTAAAACTTACAATTAGTGACTTTTTTATGACAAAATTTTTCCATAGGACCTATTTGACAATAGCTCCACTTATTAGGACCTATATGTAAGTACCTATTTTTTTTCTTTTTAATTAACTTTTGATACCCAATTATTTTATTTTAATTTATCCGTTGCGCTATCATTATAGAAATTTTAGAATTATTTTATTTTTATCTTGTTTCAACGCCGAACCTTTAGGTACTAGGTTTTGGGTCGTAACAAAAGTGATATTAGAGCTTTTATAAAAAAAAAAGACAAAACTCTGAGTGTTTATTAATAAAAATATATATATTGCCATAAAATAAAAATAAATAAATACTATATTTTGTCCAACATCATAATTGTTTAATTATATATATATATATATTGTCATAATATTTAATAAATAAATAAAATATTGTGTCCAACATGATTTAATAAAATATTGGGTAGACTAAGTTTTCCTGTGTTGTAGGACATGGCACACAAGGAAGAATTGATTTGGTTCAAGCCCCAGGGGGCGCGCATCTGGCCCCTAACTTATTGGAGGGATGGGGGGACTCAGAAAGCACTATCGGATAGACCCACCCCGACCTTGACCAACTCATGGGGAGGCCAATATATTTGTAGGCCGACCCTGACGAGGACTACCTGTTTTGGAGACTTAGCCGGGCTAGCACCCAAGAGAGATACATTGGGCTGACGTACGTCGTCAGATTGGTACATCTGCATTTCTTGGTTATTTCCTTACTCCCAGGCTTTGCCGAGAGGAGAGGGAATATATACCCTAGCAGCCACATTCGCACTACTACACCTCCTTCATAACACATTGTCCAGACTCCAGCTGTGGACTACACTGACAGTACCACATACTTAGAGATACTTATGTGGCTCACTAGGTGGCAGTTTTAAGGATATGATCACGATGTATCGACCTACATGGTCCAGGTAGTTTGGTGCTGTTTTGGGATTGAGTTCAGTGGATGAGAGTTTGAGTCCCTCGTGTAGCAGGAGTTCCCATGGCTGTTCCACGGCCTAGTCTTCTAGAGCCAGTTTTCGTAGGGGCTCAGTGACCTATTCTAGGAGCATGACCGAGAGATGTCGCTGATCTTTTTTTTTTTTTTTTTGGAGCTGACAATGACTAGTTTAATCCTTCTGTTTTTGTATTAATAGGATTAGACACTAATTATTGACTGTATTTTAAGTACGTTGTACTAATATGTTTTCTTTTGTATAAGTAAAAATCATATATGTGCTATTATAGTAACTTATACTGTTATAGTATCTTGTGAATCATAGATAATTAAATGTATACTAAGTGGTTCAAAAGAAAAGAGGGGAAGTTCACTAACCATTTTCACATTGTAGTAATGGCTAATGATGGAAATGGAACCGGATCAGCGGTCAATGGTACTGATCCAATAGAGCAAATTATGGAAAGAGCAGTTAGTAATTTTTTGTGAGCCCTACAAACCAACATTAGTAGCGAATTGCCTGAACGATGAGAAGAACCAACTACAATAAAACAGTTCCAGGACTTGAAACCTACCATATTCACTGGCAGTACAAACCCATTGGTGGCAGAAGCTTGGGTCAGAGATATGGAGAAAATTTTCAGCGCGCTACCTTGCACAGAAAGGCAGAAGGTGACTTTCGCCACATTCACCCTCACAGACGATGCACAAGAATGGTGGCTACTTACCTTGAAGAAAGAACATATTGTGACTTTGGCCAGATTCTTGGAGATATTCTATGAAAAATACTTTCTAGATTCGCTGCGGGAACAAAAAGCGTCGAAATTCATACATCTAAGGTAAGGAACCATGACAGTGGCCGAATACGAGAGCAAGTTCACATAACTGGCTCGATTTGCGACATACGTCATCCCCACCGAAGCTCGAAAAATCAGGAAATTTGAAGTAGGATTGGATGCTGAAATCAAGGACAGACTGGAGGTTTTGAAACTACCAACCTCTGCACTGGTGGTAGATCGAGCATACATTGCAGAAAAAGGGATTGAAGCCTTGCGCTCTGCGGAACCAAGCCAAAGGAAGCGATTTTGGGAAAGAGATAACAGAAGACCCGGTGTCACGCCTCCCAAAAGGGTAAATATGGGCACAACCAGTTCAAACAATCAAGGTCTTTCGAATCCCAGAGGTGGCACCATTCCAATTTGTTCTACTTGTGGAATGACTCATTCAGGACAATGCCGTCGAGACACGGGAGCATACTTTAGATGTGGCCAAGTTGGCCACTTGCTAAGAGATTGTCCAAAGCTTACCAGTCCTATAGCCGGCCCCTCTGAACCAGTCTGAAAACCCGTGGTACCTGGAGGAGTGAGGAAGGACCAAAAACACCAAGAAAGAGTTTTTGCCCTGGTGCCTGGAAACTCAGAAATTACTGAGAATGTTGTGTTAGGTACACTTTCTGTTTGTGGTCACTTTGCCCATGTTCTCTTTTACTCTAGTTCAACTCTTTCTTTTATTACACCACACATTGCTACCAAGTTGACATCAACACCCGAACCCTTAGGATACATACTATCTGTGTCTTTTCCTTCTGGAAACTCCGCCTTTAGCACTGATATATACAAATCTTGTACTATATCCTTAAAAGGTGAAACCTTACATGTAGACTTGATTCCCCTCGGCATTGGTACCTTTGATGTGATCTTAGGAAGGGAATGGTTAGTTGCCAACCATGCTTTTATTGATTGTGAAGCCAAAAAGGTTTTCCTCTGAACACCAAACCAACTTGAGCTTGTCTTCGAAGGAACTGGAGTCTCTCCCCCTCCATGTGTTATATCCTTCATTACAGCCTAATGACTTTTAAAAAAAGGTTGTTGTAGTTATATCTGTTATGTGATCAATACTCAATAAGAGACCTCCACACTTGATACAATCCTGTGGTTCAGGAATTCCCAGATGTATTTCCTGAAGACCTATTTGGCACCCTAGTTAACCGAGAAATCGAATTCACCATTGAAACCTAACTTGGTACACAACCAATCTCAAAAGCCCCTTACCGCATGTCTATGACAGAATTAAAAGAGCTGAAGACTTAACTCCAAGAACTATTGGACAAAGGTTTCATTTGACCAAGTACCTTACTATGGGGAGCTCCAGTACTATTCATAAAGAAAAAGAATGGCACGATGAGGTTATGCATCGATTATCGTGAACAAAACAAAGTCACCATAAAAAATCAATACCCTTTGCCACGAATTGACGACTTTTTCGATCAATTGCAAGGCACTCAAGTATTCTTGAAAATTGACTTGCGTTCTGGCTACCATTAACTAAAAGTCAAAACGAAAAGTATCGAAAAGACTGCCTTCAGAACTCGTTACGGGCACTACGATTTTTTCGTCATGACTGCCTTCAGAACTCGTTACAGGCACTACGAGTTTCTTGTCATGCCATTTGGCGTCACTAATGCTCCAGCGGCCTTCATGGATCTCATGAATAGAGTGTTTAAACCCTATTTTGACGAATTCGTCATTGTCTTCATTGACGACATTCTCATATACTCCAAATTGCCAGAAGATCATGAACACCACTTGCAAAGAGTTCTACAGACACTACGCGATCATAAACTTTATGCCAAGATGAAGAAATGCGAATTTTGGATCACTTGTGTACAATTTCTCGATTACGTCATCAACAAAGACGGCATCTCGGTTGATCCCCAAAAGGTTACAGCAATCGTGGATTGGCCATGACCTACTAACGTGTCTGAGATTTGAAACTTCTTGGGCCTAGCTGGCTACTACCGACGATTTGTATAAGCTTTCTTGAAGATAGTTTCACCATTGACCTAGCTAACTCAGAAGAACACACCTTTGAATTGATTGACAAACAGGAACGTTGCTTCCAACAATTGAAGAACGGACTCGTGACGGCTCCTATACTAGAACTCTCTACGGAAACAGAAGGGTTTGTAATTTATAGCAATGTCCCATACAATGGTTTGAGTTGCGTTCTTATGCAAACTAGGAAGGTCATTGCTTATGCCTCTCGCCAACTAAAGACTCATGAAAGGAACTACCCAACTCATGATTTAGAATTGGCTACGGTGATCTTCGCCCTCAAAATCTGGCGTCATTATCTCTACGGAGTAACCTGCGAAATTTACACAGATCACAAAAGTCTCAAATATCTGTTTACACAGAAGGAACTGAATATGAGGCAACGACGATGGCTAGAATTTATGAAAGACTACGATGCACAGATCCATCACCATCTAGGCAAAGCTAACGTGGTAGCAGATGCGTTGAGTCGAAAGATTACCAGAAGTTTGGCATATACCTTCGTTCCCCAGAAGATCAATGAACTGCTTGCCAACATAATTGTAGAACCCGAGCTGATTGAAGAAATTAGAGTTCGCCAATATGAAGATAAACTTTTGAAGAAAAAGTACGAGGAGCAAAGAGGAACGCCCGATTGTAACTTCACAATAAGCAACGGGATACTAAAATTTCGAAATTGAATTTGCGTACCCGACCTTCCAGAACTCAAGAAGAAGATATTGGTAGAAGGTCATAGTTTAAGGTTTGCGATCCACCCTGGAAATACGAAGATGTATCACAATCTGAAGGAACACTTTTGGTGGATGAAAATGAAGAAAGACATAGCAAGTCAAGTCTCCAAATGCTTGCATTGTCAATAGGTTAAAGCAGAACATCAGAGACCTGCATGAATGTGGTAACCACTTCTTATTCCTGAATAGAAATAGGAACACATTACTATGGACTTCGTAGTCGGGCTACTGCAATCAGTCTCGAAGAATGACACAATATGGGTTATCATAGATCGATTGACGAAGTCAACACATTTTCCATCAATCAGAATCACGTACTCCCTTACTAAGTTCGCCACTCTGTACATTAAGGAAATTATTTGTTTACACGGTGCCCCAATTTCAATCGTATTCGATAAAGACCCCCGCGTCGTGTCTCACTTTTGGAACAAATTGCAAGAAGCTTCGGAAACTATTATGAAGTTTAGCACGACTTATCACCCGCAAACTGATGGGCAATCCAAAAGAACAATCTATACTTTGGAAAATATGTTACGTGTTTGTGTGCTAGACCTCAAAGGTAATTGAGATGATCACCTACCTTTGGTGGAGTTCGCCCATAATAACAACTACCATGCAAGCATTAGAATGGCACCGTACGAGGCACTGTATGGAAGAAGATGTCGATCACCTCTGTGTTGGACGAAAGTTAGAGATAGGAAATTATTAGGCCTCGAAATCGTGCAAATCACAAGTGATAAGATTCAGCTCATTCAACAGTGAATTCACACTGCTTAGAGCTGCCAGAAAAGCTATGCAGATACACGAAGACGAGAATTAGAATTTCAAATAGGCAATCATGTGTTCCTAAAGATCTCACCAGTAAGAGGGGTTATCCGATTTGGAAAACGAGGAAAGTTAAACCCACGTTACATCGGGCCATTAGAAATACTCGAAAGGATTGGTTCTATGGCATATCGCCTTGCACTTCCACCTGAACTGTCCAATGTCCACAACGTGTTTCACGTTTCGATGCTTTAGCGTTATCTTTGAGATCTAGAGCATGTTGTTGATTATGAGAACTTGGAAGTTCAAGAAGACCTTTCTTATGAAGAACAACCAGTACAAATTCTTGATCGCCGTGATCAGGTCCTTCGAAACAAGATTATACCTATTGTAAAAGTCTTATGGAGAAACCATCGTGTCAAAGAAGCAACGTAGGAAACTGAAAGTCAAATGCAAGCCAAATACCCACATCTTGTCGAAAACCAAGGTATGTCAAGTTTGGGGACAAACTTCTTTTGAGGAGAGGAGAATTGTGGCACCCGAATTTTTACCATGATTATATTATATAAAATAATAATAATATATAAATAAATATTAATAATAGTAGTAATAAAAATAAATAAATAAATGCATAGTTTAAGAAATTGAGAATTAATTGATTAAATTGTTAAGGAAATAAATTGTGAGGCACCGCACGTTAAATATTTCAGTAAGTGGTAAGTGATGTTTTATAGTTGGGTGGTGAGGTTTTTAGATGTGAACCTAACATATAATCATAGGTAATTTTAGAAATCATAACCTTTAGAATTGAATTAAATAATACTAAAAAAAAAAAAAATGGCCAAACAAGCTTTCGGTGGGCCAAAGATTAGTTTGGCCCTTGGTAATTCCTTGAGGTAAACTTAAGAGCCAAAGACAGATGGCAATAGGGGAGAGAAAATTTAGGACCAAGGACATGTGGCGTTAAGGGAAAGTACTTGCATGTATGCTTTGTTGCTTGGGCCTCACTCTTAGTTCTATATAAGTAGGATAGGTGCTATAGGAGAAAGCATCCGAGCAAGTAAACACAGTGCTATAATAGAGAGCATTCGAGCAAAAAAACATAAGAAATGAGGAGCAAGCTCAGAATAATTTAGGAGTAATTTTAAGGTGAGTTATATTATACCTTGAGTTATAATAATATGTTTTCTATATGTCTTGAGTTACCATAATATATTTTATGAATGTTTTGAGTTACAACAAATTATTTTATATAATTTATGTTTTATGGTAATGTTAATGTTTCAATTAGGTGGATTATTTTCTGAACTTTATTTGCTTAAATTGAAACCCATGGATATGTTTGTTTAAATTTTAGAAATTATTTGATAAAGATCTTATAAACAATTATGTTCTGTAAGTACCATCACGGGAGTTCCACGCATTGGAAGACTTAAGTAAACCATTAGCCCCTATTTGGCCACCTTGTGATCCTCTGTTTGTCATGGATTCATTGACCACTGTCCTGATTGTCACTCCAGTGACTCCTGTTCTGTACCGTGATTATAGTTATTTATGTAACTTTTATTTCAGTTTCTGCTACTTAAATAATTTATTTATGCAACTTAAATTATGTTAATGTTTTAGCTTAAATAACTATCCATGGCTATTTTTGTGCCTCTATACTCACAGTATAATATTTCTCACTCTGCTATGTGCTTATAACTGTTACCCCTTTCAGGTGACGGGATTTAATGAGATCAAAATAGGAGATAAATCACAGTATTTTCTTTTCTTTCTTGTCTTTTGTACTATCTGTATTTTGATTGGACTCTTGTAATAAAATAAAAACCCAAATGACTTTTTTTTTTCTTTTTAATTAACTTTTCATACCCAATTATTTTATTTTAATGTATTTAATTTATCCGTTGTGTTACCACTACAGAAATTTTAGAATTATTTTATTTTTATCTTGTTAC